ATTTGTTTTGGAATTTTTATATTTTTTGTTTGTATGTCGTTGTTTGTTGTTTGTATTATTTGTGCGTTTGTATACTTTTGTATGTTTTGTATTGTTATGTTTAAATGCGTTTGTTTTATGTTGTATGTTTTGTATTAATGTTGCTTATTTTTCTTTCTTTAATTAGAAACAATCACTCTTTCTTTTTGTTCGTTCGCTATTCATTCATTCATTTATCGACGGATTGGTTTATTCATTCATCCATTCATTCTTTTATTCGTGTATTCTTTCATTCATTCATGTATTCATTCATTCATTCATTCATTCATCCATCAATCGTTTATTTCGTCTTCTTTCTTTTGAGATAGGTTCATTTTTTTGTGTTTGATATGCTATAAAAAATTTTGTCAAGAATGTGAAAAGTTAACTTATTGTCAAAAATGTTTTGAAATGCTCCTTTATTTTTGTTCTATCTATCCATCAGTTTGTTCATCCATTTATTCATTCATCTATCCATCCATTCATTCATCCATCCATCCATCCATCCATCCATCCATCCATCCATCCATCCATCTATCTGTTTTTTCATTCATGCATTCATCCACTTATCTATCGATTCACCCACTTTTCCATTCAACTATCATTTCATTCAATAATTCATTCAATAATTCAATAATTCAATAATTCAATAATTCAATAATTCAATAATTCATTCATTCATTCATTCATTCATTCATTCATTCATTCATTCATTCATTCATTCATTCATTCATTCATTCATTCATTCATTCATTCATTCATTCATTCATTCATTCATTCATTCATTCATTCATTCATTCATTCATTCATTCATTCATTCATTCATTCATTCATTCATTCATTCATTCATTCATTCATTCATTCATTCATTCATTCATTCATTCATTCATTCATTCATTCATTCATTCATTCATTCATTCATTCATTCATTCATTCATTCATTCATTCATTCATTCATTCATTCATTCATTCATTCATTCATTCATTCATTCATTCATTCATTCATTCATTCATTCATTCATTCATTCATTCATTCATTCATTCATTCATTCATTC